CCAACGGCATGGCGGCCGGACGGTGGTAAAGTGTATCGTTTGAATATAATAATTTCACATTGACACAATGTCATTCTACCTTGGCTTGGTAGTCTTGGTAGCTCGGAATCTGGGCGCATCAGTCCATGGGCAAGTAATGTTTCGATAAAAAAGTTACATTTCATTATTACCAATAGGTACCTACACTTATGATCAATTCATATCAATGCTCAAAACAAATCTCAGCCCTCGCAATGTCTTTCACACGTACGAGTATGCCGCCCATATCACCACGCGAAGCGCACGCTGTTCTCATGTGCACTGGGACACGCGAGTCGGCGTGGTGGGCGCCAAGACGAGGCGGCATCACGAGACATCAGGGCATCACGAGGCACCACGGCATCACGAGACATCACGGCACCACTCCGAGGCATCACGAGGAGGGTCCGTCAGAGCGTGTCGCATACTAGGCCGCCCTCCAAACCAGTCTCCCAGCGCCCTTCAGCTACTAACAAAGGAAGCGGACGAATGACGCCTCTATTGCCGGTAATCCAGGAATATTGCTATACTGGCAGCCATAAAATGTGCATGAGATGCATAACTATGCTACCATATATGGAAGCAGGAATGCCGTATATGGTGTGAACGTGGTTATTTGGGGTCTTGGACGCATTTTTAGAGCATGCCGGTGCCCGGTGGTTTGGGCCCCTGGCACAAATCGCTAATTAGGTTACATTGTACAGCTTACCCATCACTGCATGCATAGGAGTTATTCGCAAGAGACTCCTGTACTAAAGGAAAACTAAAAGAAGACCGATGAAGGAAAACGAAGCTCCTCAATGACCGTCAGGTTTGCAGATTCTTGATGGCGCAACCGTCACCGAACTGGTAACGAAGAAGCCCGTCCTCGGTCGGTGATGGCCCACCAGACGTCACCGTGGGCCGTCAGACCACTTTCGCCACCGGATTGGTCAACTGACCGCAGGTTTACCTCTGCCACGAGCCCTCAGCGCTGGCTGAGCCCGCTCTGCGGTCGGAAAACACGTCTTTCGATAGGAGTTTGTGTCGTATGACACCAGCGGCTGTGATATTGGATAACACTCAGATGAGCCGCGAAGGTGGTGCCGTTCAATCTGCAAAAGCCGCTAAGTCAGCGAGTCACTTCTACGGACAGCACTAACCATCATCCACCTGGTCTAATACATCACGACGCCAGCCATTACCAGCTCCTAGTGGTGTTCGAGGGCCATTTCATTTACTATTTATCCCGAACACGGGCCAACGTCGAAGTCCGCAGCACAGCAGGCAAATAAAGCCCGGTTTAGATCGGTTTACGATATTGTAAGGGCCGCTGGTTTGGGCCGGCGGTGACTGTTCAGACCGTCGCTGCGATCATGAGGTGCCGTCTAAGGGCGATGGGCAGCCTCATTAACAGCCACAAAAGTCCCCAGCTGACAGAAATCGGGGGCGATCCGGCCGGGCGGCAGTGATATGCATACCCGGCGGCCGGCACGACAGCTGCTGCTTGCACAATGCAATGACAGAAAAAGAACAGACATGAAAATGGCATACATGAGTTTTAGAGCGTTGAAAACAAGTAGGGACACACTCATTGACAAGCAGTGGTATTCACTTAAGCCTTGCTATTTTTACTCCAATGCCCTTTAATTATGTTATGCATGAAGGCGCTATCATTTACAAATGGAGTTCATGTTACCGCGTCATCAATTTTTACCACTTCGCGGCCGCCATTGAATGTCCCGTGCACTTTGCATATTTTACTTAATTGTGTGACATTCATCATGCCTCAGTTCACAGATAGAATTGGTAGCTTATCCTGTTGTAAACATTCGCTACATAGCCGGCGCTAGCATCATAGCGCTATTTTAGATAAATGCATGCATAACTTGCCTGTTTGCAAGGCTGGAAGCTCATCAATGTTATTACAACATTTCTGAGAAATGTTTGGAAATGTAACACTCTGAGCAAACTACAGTAGGTAGTAGATCAATAAAGATGGAGAGGGCACGAGACGGGCTATTGGCTCCTGCACAACAACTATGCAATAGTGCAAGGAAAACAGCAACTGGCTAGCCATAAAGCTCCGGGAGGAATCTGTCAGTAATTACAAACATTGCTCTCCCCGGACAAAGACAAAACACAAAAACAGCTGTTTGCAGTCAAAGGCAGCTTAAATATGGCGCTTTTTCAGCACACTGCACTGCGGATTTATGTCATCCAGTTGGATTAGTACGGTACTTGGATAGATCAGATATCGCATATTTTCAGTAAACTGACGATATAAAAACAAAATTTAGACATGTTTATGGATTTCGAGAGCTGATATCAGAGCTGTTCAGAGTTATGATGATGCATATGTGTTTGCTTATGTGATTTTATTGAGCCAATCATCCTGTTATATATTGCTGATTATAAACTACTTTCCCTTCAAGAAGACATTTACTAGAAGACATGCGAAATTTCCCTGCGGAGCATGCGAAGAATCCAAAATCTGCCTAAAAAGCCCGAGGTCTGATACGAAACGAGCAGCAATATGCGAGCGACAGCCGAAGTCTATCGCTTTATAATCTCAAGAAATACAGAACTGACAGACTGACTAGAACTACATGTTCCAATGTACAACACCTGCAGTCGAGACTTTCTCAATAACAGCGCCTCAATGGCCAAGGGAAATATGGCATCAATCGCGTCCAAAGACCTTGCCGTTTCATTCAGCGAGCTGAATTCAGTCCACTTCTGCGTCACTGCGAGACTCAATACACCTCCCTATCAATAACTGCACAGTCTCCAGCGACATTTTGTTCCGGCATCAATAGCATTGCGTCGTACGAATCGCTTTACATTTTAACCAGCGCCGCCGACAGATTCGACCAGCGCCAACGTTTGGCTTGTGTCCGTCCATTCGATCACTACCCTCCCCTCGCCCTCGGGCGCATGCTGTGCCCCAGGCGATTCTGAGAACTCTGTCCGTGACCACCGAGGTCACCGTTCGAGCCCAACTTGAAACACCCCCGCCCGGGGCGTGCCGAGACCTGGCCGGCGGTCACCACAGCCGGCTATTGGTCGGAGGTCGTTCCCTCAACATTTCGGCGCCGCCGGCTGTGGGCTCCAGTCGGTCGGGCCGTTCGGTCCACCCGGTCGGGGTCGTCCGACCGCTCAAACTCGGCCGGAGGTCGGCGAATGCCTCGGGGCACGCAGCCGGGTCGGCGGCGACCCTGTCTCACTGGACCCCGACACGGAACCGGGTCTCTGCGACACGGTTAGAACGGGGCGGACACTGCCCGCGGCCACGCGCGCCACTAAACGCTCCCCGACCGAGACGGCGGCTATTTCGATATTTTATTTCGGTATGTGATAGCGTGGTCTGCCATAACGAGCAGTAGAAAAGTGTGAAAAGCGCACGCCAAGAAACACACGGGGCAGGCGTGGGTAGTAAAGAATTCGACGGGGGATATGGCAACCAATGAGGCATTTGAATACGCAGGTGTCGTACTTCTTCCTCTTTTGTGATCTTAAAACTGAAATTGTACGAAGGCTGATAAAAATATTCCTTGTTTTGACAGACGGCCAAACGGATGGATGTGGTCATGCATGCACATTACATGTGTAGACAGAACGGTGAAAGAAAATAAGTTTGGATAAGAATCTAGCCCATGATTTAATCTCGCGTGCATGCCAGGGGCTCAGTATTCATCGCCAATTGCAACGTTGCGCTCCTGGCATCAAAACTGGTCGCGACAGCTTGAAAAATGTTCTGAAATAGCATGCAACAATCAATAATTCACTTTCGCAGCAAACGCCCACTTTCACGAAGGATGATTAATAAGACCGAAGGCATCGCAACCAAATAACACCGAAGCGGACGTAGCTGATACAGAAGATATGCAAAACAGCAAAACGTCGAACATGATGCGCGGATAAGAACAGAAGCACACTCGAGTGCCTTGCGCTGAACATAACGAGGACAAAGACAATTGTTTCGCTCATAAAGTTCCTTCTAAAATAGTGCAATCGATAGCAAAACGCTTTGTACCGCATAATGCATATGTTGTTTACTGTTTATTCATAAAAAAAAATTCAAACTCAAGCCAGCTATGATAAGGGTTATTCAAATGAGTTGCCTTCATGTACTGATGTGTAACGAGATAACGTATTAATTAAAACCGGAGCACCTGTAGTTTTTGCTTTTATCACATGTCGACAGCCGCAACGCGCCGTCTTATCCTACCCTATCGCTCCCCTACAGGGCTGTACCAGACACCAGGGGTACCTACTGAAATCACCCGGTGATGTAAAGGAAGACCCAAAGGGCTACACCAACTGATACGCGATGATTATCGGGAATGCTTTACCACGCACAGCCGCCGGCTCCAAGGGTTCCAGAGCGTAGATCAAACGCTCAATGTCATTGGCAAGCGGGAATTTAATCAGTTTCCGTGGGCGAAGTCGTTTCATCGTTAAACGCTTCGAGAAATCAGATAAAAGGCGTCTTTAACTCCACGTTAGCAGGAGCCATTCCGACGCAAAGACTATATCACATAGATTCATCTAAATTTGCATTCGATGAGATCACTGTCACAGCATGTCAGACGGAACACAGCGGTTTAACCGGTGCGTGATGGCTACCAGCGTTTGTTGGGTCACTGGTAGTAATCTTTCATAACCAGACCTCTGTTGCTAAATGTTTGATCCTCATTTTAGTCTGTACTACGTAGTACGTAGTACGTAGTCGACATCATGTTCTGTTAGATAATTTTTGTATACCAATACATATGTTTGAACAGCTGACTGCTTCAGTGTGTACACGCTATTTCATTTTACACGGTAAAGAGTTAAGACACCTTAATTTATGCAAATTTGGTTGTAGTTTCATGCATCATGATTCTATGTAGTTATGGAGATGTTCCCATTTGCAGAACAAAACCAAAACAAAAGAATAACAAATCTAGATTCGACATTTAATCCTCCATCCCCGCGACTCTCAGCGGCAGCCAACTCACCTTCGCTTCTGTAATCCTCCACCGACAAACAGCAGTCCCACTCCAATCGCACTATCTCGTCTGTCACCGCGCGCGGCACTGTCCTCCCTCCCTCTCACACAAACACTAGTCTGCCGCGACTGGACTGGCGTCTGGAGCGTCCGGCGCGCACCCTCTCTCCACGACGGCTTCTGGACGACTGGCGGCCGCCGACCCCGCTGAGCCGAGCGGCGACCGACACCGACGGCCGATCCAGGGAGGGCTACCGGCCTGGAAGGACCCATACCGCGGCTGGCTGGACTGGGGTAGTCAGGGGTGTGGAACTTGGAGGCTGCGCGCGTGTTATGTTGCTTGTGTGGGAGAGCTAGTGTTGCGTATAAGGTGAATGTTTGGTCATGAATGCGCGTCGGAGTGTGTTTAATTTCAGCGTGCCGCTTATGGTGGTATGCCATTTAATTTTCTAATAACGGGAGCTAGTTATGGCATCTTGTGCTTCACCGAGCTGGTAACCGCAATGCACTCAAAGTAAAAAGTTCATAGCATGAGGGCAGTTGCGGCGCAATGTATTTAGTACTTGCTGTTGCGTGGGTGAAGCTCATATCCGTTGCAGTATACGCAGTGCGCATGACAGTTGACCATAACTATACGGCCATGAATGCAAGTAGTTTGCCAGTGGAGCTTGGAATGAACATTCTTATAACATTGACGAAACATTGCTTTCCTATTCGGGCTACTGGGAAACCAAACAATTTGCAGTTTTAGATCCTATAATCAAACCCTGTAAAGTGTAACAGTTGCGTTGTGTGACGGTCGATTTTGTCTTGGAGAAGGAAGTTAAATACAACTGGGATCCCTTACGATAATGATATGCGAAGTGAGTGTTTGAGAAAAATACCGAAACCTATTTCAACCTTCGCACTTACAGGGAGAGGGACGGGATCAAACGGATAATACGTTTATATGATATTACTATGATAATACGGATAATCTGATATTACTATGATAATACGGATAATCTTGTTTTTTCTTCAAATAGCTCGCAAAAATGGTTGATTGCTACCAAACGTTCAGTATCATCGAGTTAATTAAGATTACAGCTATATCCCAAAAAATAATGACCCTGAACTAAAAGGCCTTTGATCTGTGACCTATTTCTGGAGACCACGTCAGGCGCCAGAATAGCGAGTAGCGATTCGGCGCACGTCAGAGCATATTATCCGTGCATTTCCAGTTTGTATGTAGTTGTAAACGTTCTAACGGGCTGACATCTCAAATAGCGACTCAGAAAACAGCGAATTAAAAACAGCAACAGAAAAACAGCGACTCACTCACTCAAAACACCGACCGCGTTTAGAGCCACCTCTAGAACAGTGACTCACATGTTTGAGTGATTGTTTGAAGCGATGATCCGTAATAGAGTAGCGACTTCAGAGAACTACAGCGACTATTTTAGGCTAATGGCGATGGAAAAGCAAAAATTGACGATTTCTTACGAAGTACATCATTGTGTAAAATGCACTCGTTTCGCATTATTTACTGAAAAAATCACAGTAAACATTCAATATCAAAGCATATTTCGTAACATACAAGTTCGCTTCAACTAGTCGCTCATTCGCTTCGATGATGATAAGGGATTTTTCGTTGACATCGTTAATTTTTCAGGTTAAATTAATTGCCAAGTCCCCCCGATTGCCCGGGGATATCTGAGAGTGTCATATGATGTCCTGTTCTACACAACGAGTGCATTTTTCATAAAAAAAAAATATTCTTCGCAGGGAATCGTCAATTTCTGCTTTTTCAATCTCCATTAGCTTAGAATAGTCACTGTACCTCTGGGGTCGCTCTATTACGCATGGCCTTTTTACATAATAATCGAAACGGCTTGATAATTATCTAAATGCTCGCACGCTTGAGCGATTATATTCGCTCAAGCTGCGAGTCGCTGTATTAGAGGGCTTAAATGCGATCGCTCTTTTGAGTGAGTGCTGTTTTTCTGTCGCAGTTTTTAAGTCGCTGTTTTCTGAGTCGCAGTTTGACGCGCACACGGCTCTAACGTGCGAAATTATAGTTGTCCCATGCATTATGGTGGATGTTGATGTCACGTGATGGCCAGGTCAAGGTCATTAACCTAAAATGACTTTGGTTCACGTTTTAGCGTTTCGCATGTCTCTAGAGTAGTTTTTGGAACTGATTTCGAATTCAGAAGCCATTTGAAAATTTGATAAGTAGTTTTGGTTTCCATGTAACATGTTATTAAGCTGCCAGTGGTGGTTAACACCTACTATGGATTGCCGGCAAGACGCCTACTAGTTGACCTGACCTGCCTTAACCCGACCTACCCCAGTCTCCAAATGCATCGCCTTTGATTAAAACTAACACTAAATTCGTAATCATGACCCCCCCCCCCCAGAACGACCTAAATTTACAACGTTTTAGCAGGTTCCGATTTTCCCGACTTTTGGACCCTTGACGTGGCCTAGAAGGTCAAGCACTGACCTTGGACCTGAAAGCTGGGTATCATAGTCTTCGTCTTGTCACGGGCAACATGCTCATTTTTCCGCGAAACTAGCTCTTTCAGGGACCAAATGACAGGAGTCCAACAGACCCCCCCCCCCCGGACCCCCATGTTAGCCGTTGGAGGCTGGAAAACAAAAATAGGTACGGGTGCAGAGTTATAGGTGCAAGGAATGAAATTCAGAGCAAAAAAGCTTTGACACCATTGCATTCTATTAGAAATGAACTGGATTGCTTCGAAATCAGTTATCCATACCGCAGCTTCCGACAAACCAATCATGAAGTGAAATGAACTTCCATCAGCCCGGCCGAACCAGCCTGCAGCCTGCTGGGTCGAACCAGCCACATGTCCCCTGTGACCTCGCTGTACGCGGAACATACCACACTGGTAACTTAATCATCCAAACAATACGAATTCGTGAGAAATGTCCTATGGTCGACCGATGATCAGCGCAAACTACTGGCCCGCGGTTAGGACTGAGAGGACTGGGCAGTATGTCCGGCAGGCCGGTTCCTCATACCGGGGCAGATAATGAGCTCCCGACAGCGGCATCCTGGGGGTCAGATCATTTGGACGCACTTTGGAGGGCACCGGGAGCGTTACGATGCCAAAATGACTATGGGACCGAGGAGGATGACCTCCAGATCGACGTCGGGTGCTCTAATTGAGGCAGTGATCGATCGAAGCAAATACGCCAGCGTGTTATTTCAGCGAGGAAGAAGTTGATAAATGGGTGATGACAGTGGTACTTTGTTCCACAAGTTTTGATAAGGGCCCCGTGCACTAGGTAACAATGAACACGGGTGTCGCTCGAGGAGGGAACTCGGGCTGCATCCGGGCCTGGCGGCGAGCTGGATAATTAGACCATTTCTCCAGATTAGCCGGCGTGGCGAAGCTGGTTGGCGCCGCAGTCTTACTATACACAGGGCTAGTTTTGATAGTTTGTGGGAAAATTTTGCCTTAATTAACAATAGCTGATATCCGCTAAGGAGGCAATCGCCAGGAGGCAGAAGCCATATATCAGTGACAGTGTTTTTCTCCACAGTCCCTTTGTTTCTAGCATAAATAGTAAATACACTTAATTACCCCGGCATTGAGATAGCCTACTGTATTGTTTCCGACTGTATGAGATCTGTGTTTGCCGTTTTACCCGTCTCTACGGAAGCGACATGCCTAGTAGAAGAATGTACCTCCTGGGCGAGTTAGAGTTTGGACTGGTATACATAGCAGAGCGCGGGGCATCAGCCTTATTTACTACTTAATAATCAGCCATATTCATTGTTCCAGTGTACTATAATGCATGCTTAATAGTTAATAATGCCTTACACCTGCACACTTACCATAATTTGCATTTAACGTTTAACTTGGTTGGAAGATGGGCACTGCAGTCTTCCACTTATATGATGCTGAACCATATATCTTAGAGCTAGCAGGCTTAAAAGTGCAGGCTAATCATTAGTTCCCGCTTTTAAACTGTATCATGAGTATAAAAATGCATTTTTTGCTAGCATTTAATGCATTTGTTACTATTGAACATCTGTTTGGCCAAGAAAGATTCTTTTATAAAAATTCGCTATTGAATTTTACCGCAAAACATCTGTTTCGAGGAGAGGCAGCTGCAAGGCTCTTCTTCTATCTCCTATCATCATCTCCAGTTTTACCTTCGGACATTTCGCGGGAGACAAAGCATGTTGTTGCTGTTCCCGTCGGCTTGTTATGTCGGCAGCTGCATGGATGTCGGCCCTTTAACTGCCGTCCCGAGATGGGCGGCAGCTGCCACCACCGAGCTATTCGCGGCCACCTTATACACCGAGCCCACAGTCCTTGCCTCTACCGCGCCGAGAAAACGCTCCGTGCCGCAAATGACCTCGTCTGGGTCAGGCAAACGTGATCCTGACAGGCTGCCACCGGCCAGTGGTCGTGGCCATTAAATTAAATCCGTCCGAATGTCGAACATTTCACTAATTAATTGCCGCAGCGTTTCTGACATGCCGACTCGGTCACTGGCGGCACGGCGGGGCTCGAACCGTGCGACAAAGGAACGGACATTGGTCCGCGATTGTTTGCCGGGCGTCTCTGAAACAACTGACCACTGACAATGAGACAGACTAGGGATAGTGAAAATGTCATTGACCTCTCTTGATGGATTGGTCAGTATTCATTTTGAAGCACGAAAGGTCGTTGAACATTGTATTCGGCCCTGACGGCTTATGGTAGCAAGATATCAGATAACTTACATTGGATTGTGAAATGTAAAGCCGTGTAGGTCATTTTTTTGACAATGATTTAGCCTGCCCTTAACTAAAAGACATGGGAGGCAGTTCGGGACACCGGAGCATGGAACTCAAGTGTGAAACTGCCTCTCAGAAGCATTACGGGGATGCCTGTCTTCACCTCAAACGCAGCGATGGACGCTGCGACCAGCTGCTCACAGGTCCAGCTGCCAAAAGATGTTATGTCGTGTTATGTCGAATATAAGAAGGACGAGTAGATGTCTCAAAATCATAAAGCAAATATCCGACGAAAATTCATGACATGTTTTGAATCCCGGCATTTTTCTGACAAATATGAATTATGGGATGACGTTTTAATTCGGATATATTATATTTAAAAGCCTTGTAAGCCTTGGTTTCTAATCATCCTTATAAGCCATTCTTGTTATGTTACACAAATGCGCTTATGCATC